TAAGTGTTTGATGAATGCCATCATGGACATTATGGCCAACATTATCAACTACGTTTTTCAATGCATGAAGCCTGTCATGAATTTGCTCATGGATATTATGGCCAACATTACCGATTACATTTTTTAAATCATGAACTCTGTCATGAATGCCATCATGGACTTCATGGGCAACATTATGAACTGCGTCACCAACTTTATGAATTCTTTCATGAATGCCATCGTGGATTTGATGGCCAACATTATGAACTGCGTTACCGACTTCATGAATTCGTTTATGAATGTTATCATGGACATTATGACCAACATTATCGTTTTCATGACTATCGGTGTGTTGCATATTATTCGGTGAATTGTTATTTCCAGATAAGATGATTGATCCATCGGGAAGAACATTTCCAATCTGACTGGCAGTGTTAAATCCATTATTAATGCCAGCCTGAACTGTAGGGCGAATAGTACCAACTACGTATCCTAAATCATTAATTCCTTTTTGAATCCAAGGTTGGACTTGATGGCCAACATTATTGATTCCCCTATTAGCTGTGTCTTCTGCCACATTCGGTAAGTTGCTGTTTCCAGATAAGATGATTGATCCATCAGGAAGAACATTTCCAATCTGACCGGCAGTGTTAATTCCGTTCTTAATGCCATCCTGAACCGTATGGCCAACATTACCAACTACGTTTCCTAACTCATTAATTCCTTTTTGAATCCCAGTTTGGACTTGATGACCAACATTATTGATTCCACTATTAGCCGTGTCTTCCGCCACATTCCGTAAGTTGCTGTTTCCAGATAAGATGATTGATCCATCGGGAAGAACATTTCCAATCTGACTGGCAGTGTTAAATCCATTATTAATGCCAGCCTGAACTGTAGGGCGAATAGTATTAACTACGTATCCTAAATCATTAATTCCTTTTTGAATCCCAGCTTGGACTTGATAACCAACATTATTGATTCCACTATTAGCGGCGTATCTTGCGTCGTTCAATAAGTTACTGCCTCCAGATATGACGAGAGATCCATCGGGAAGAACGTTTCCTATCTGATTAGCAGTGTTAATTCCGTTTTTAATGGCACCCTGCACTTTAGGAGTAAGGTTATCAACTATATCTTCTAACTTATTAATTCCTTTTGGACTGACACTTTGGACTTGATGGTTACCATTATTGGTTCCACTACTATCGATGTCTCTTACGGCAATCAATAATTTATTGTCTTGAGATGCACTGTGTGAGCTATCGGGAATAACATCTCCAGTCTGACCGTTTATATTATTCTGCACATTAGAGCCAATCGATCGACTCGACCGTTTTTGTACAGCGTCGAGTTGATTGTTCAAATACTCATGAACTTTGGTCAAGTCCTTGATGGATTTTTTGAGAGCTGTTACTTGATATTCGGTGATCGTATCGGCAAGCTTTACATTGAATTCCTCAAATTTATCTTTGCTTTGTCCGCATAATTTCTGGCCTTGGTCTGTAAAATTGCAAATATCATTGTGAGCCGTTTTGAATGGCTTTTCCAAATCTTCACTGGCATTCTTTACAGTTTGGCCAACTTTATTAAACCAATCAAGTTGAGCATCAAGTTTTGGCTGAAAATATATTAGATTTCATTATTATATTCAACTAAATTTATGATTGTTTTTTTTTCTATATCGAAAGAGTAATCTTACGCTGTTTACTTCGACGTTGAGATCTCTCGAATTTTCATCATTTTCCTCAGCTTTTGAACTAGCCTAACAAAATTTGAATAACGAATGAAAATTACTACATATAAAATAATAAATGCAATAAATACGCATAAGTTCTAATTGTGAAATGCTTACCAACAGGCAGGAGCTACCGAAGAGAGCAAAGATGAAAATTTTACCTAACATCTTGAAGAAATTTCGTTTGTCAACTGACAATCACATAGTATGATCCGTATTATATACCCCAAGAATCACTCGTTACACGTATTTCGGTTATTTGCACAAGATAAAAATAGGCTACATTATGCTTCACTTGTATTTGTCTTGTAGTATGAAAAATTATTTGATTCTGTCCCAAGAAATAACGCGCGAATGATATATTTCACGCTCCGACGCGATAAGACGAGGGAATATATAATGAATATTGATTTTGCACATTTGAGTTTTGTCTAGGAAAAACTATAAGTTTTCCAGTTGATATTTTTGACGAAAAGAAATAGTTTGAATGTTATATAATAAATCTGAGCATAGAATGTCAACTAATGAAACCAAAGTTAGAAATAGCCAGATCATCGTCAGAGAAAAGATTATCTATTTCTGCGAAAACATTAACCTGCTATAAGTCAATGGTAGATTGTATAGTATTTCATCATACGTTATACGATTACTCGGATAATACGCTTTCCAGATACACTTGAATAAATTTACTTCTTACTGCGTAGCATGATTATCTTAAGAAGTTTTCTTGGCATGATTATTTTCTATTTTACGTGATTCTCATTACTTCGAATATTATTGAGTTATTTTTATTATCTGAAAATTTATGAAAAAATATGAAAAAAAACGATTCTATTAGCAGATGATTGGCGCGTGAACTAGATCTGAAAAGGTGCTTTCTGTATTAGATATAACGAATCAATTGTCAATTTTTTTTAGAACGTTTGCCATACTTGTGTCAATAGACATTAGCATTTTAAAGAGATATATTATTTTCTTTTTTTCTATACGACAATTTTCTGCTTTTTAATAGTTAAGCATGTTTTGTTTACATTGATCAATCAAATAAATGAAAGTGAAAACGAGACTATCTTGAAGTCTATGTGTAAACAAGGCACATGACATCGAAAAATCAACTCAGCATTTATCGCGCTCACATATTGCGTATTTGAGTTTGTAACTTTTTTGATTTGTTCTACTATCTGTTATCAATTCAGATTGGAAAACACTACCAGGCGTTTTAATATGAAACACGCGTGGTCTTTCCGTTCAAAGTCACGTCAAGTGATATTCAAAATATGAAATTTCTCAAAAACGCAATGAATAAAAGCCTAATCATATGATTTTTTAAAGACTATATACTTACCCTATCGAGTCTGAGTGCCAGATGAAGTCCCGTAGGATCGAGTACAGCACATAGTGAACGATCTTCATGGCCACAGTCACGTTGTGCTCGTTCGAGATCACGACGTATATCATCGGTCTCACGGCCCAACTCAGCTGCAAATTCACGTGCACGATCCGCTCGCTTCAGCAAACCGTCCGTCTTGTATGCTAATTCTTGCGAACCTAAAATAATCCACGACGTTAATTTATTCAAAATGAACAGCAAAATTATGGACAAAGCCGTGGAAAGTTTACCCGTCAAGCAAAAGAAAGCAAAGAAAATTCCATTGGACAAGCCCGAAGCAACGTTTGTTAAAGTAAATTTGAACTTGCCAAGAAACTTTTCTGTACTTAATAATCGCCTGTGTATATAAATGAAAAGACGTGAAAAATGTTAAACTTAACATCGGCTATACAACGTAAAAGAGGTGGGCAGCCTTGATATTGCGTCGAGGGTCAACGAAATTGCCGCGGGGTGCTCAATCGAGTTTCGCTCGCGTTTGCGAGCATTAATCAATCGTTAGTTATATCTTGGACGGCGTTTTTTTTTTAATTACAAATGTTACACGCAGTTTGATAAAGTTTAATGACTAGTCACGGAAGTCGTTTCATAGTAAAACATACTGGGCTTATTTAATCATCAACATTCAAAACGTCTTGAATTGATATTATTATTCATAATGTCAAAATGCTACAAGGAGGGAATTCGTTGACCGTAGGAGCTTGAAATATTTGAAAACTGTTGTATCGCTAAATTAACAATTCCAGTACGTCTCGAAACTTTTCAGAAAGAAATTTAATAAGCACCGAATTCTCAGCTCTCACTCATAATTATCGAACAAACGGAAAAGCTCAAATTTCATTCGCTCCAAAACAATAAAACAACAATCCATGCAAAACGCAACACATTGATGTGAAATTCAAATCAATGTGAAATGGGTAAGTAAAGTTAGCGAAAAGAAATAAACAGCGGCAAAGCCCTGGGGCGCACAGATGAAAAGGAAAAGAAAGAAATTTTGAGTCTAGTGCACACCGAAGCGGAAAGCTCTGGCTCTATCACGGCGTTCAGCGCTAATTCACTTAATATTCAGTTAGTAACTCAGCGGGGCTCCGGAACTAAGTGAGCTGACGATCGAGCAGACCACTGGCCGTATAGCACCCATGCATAGTCAAGTTGACTAGAGGATTTTTATTGTGATAGAAATTTAAGCTGATATTTTTAAAATTTTTTTATAGAGTAAAAATTTCGTTTTAATTAAAGGATGAAATTTTTTCCAAGGCAAAGATCTCTTTACTGCAAATGAAAAAATGGACTTATCATGAGTTATAAACATTGCTCAAATGATAAATTTTTGTCTTGAATTGCAATTGAAAAAAAGGTTATTCAATTGGAATGATAATTTAAGAACCTCACTCGAAATGCGTAAGCGTAAACTCGCAAATCATCTAAGAATAGACTAATTTAATAATAATTTACAAAAAGCATACAACGAGTGATCTCACAGAAAATATTTTACTGTATTTAACTAAATTATACATTGATGTAACTAATTATAATTATTGATGTAACCTAATTAATTGAACTGCCATAAACGTAATTTACAGAAACTTGCTTCGACATCCACTGATGCAAAATAGTTGTTTTGACCTCTAATGACGGATTGTCAAACGAACGTTCAAAGGCGCCAGTTAAACTAAAGATATATCTTCTTACGCGGTAAATAACGGCTTTCTTTTTAATCAAACTAATTTTGTAGCCTTTGTGCATTGCGATATACAGTAAGAGGTGATGCTAAAGAAATCTAACGCAACTGTGTCTAAATGAATTCTTCAGAAATCGTAACAAATTAGTTCCAGTTTCAGCTGAAGCCAACGGCTCGAAGAAAATTACGTCGCACGACTTTAAGAAAGAGAATGGAGAATATTACGGAACTTGGAAAAATTCCGTCAAATGTATAAAAGCAGTGGTGCAGTAGCAGCAGTGGCGTCGAGGAAATAAATCACGCGCGAGGGAATATTCGACTAGTTGGAAGTTTCTCAGTGGCTCGACAGCTCGAAAACGCAAACGCCGCCGAACTTTTCATACTCGCAGGAATATGTCACACGTACTGTCATCTGGCTATTTGATTTTTCGATACGCGCAAGTAAATCGTTTTATTTTATATACAGGATTCTCTCTCTCTCTCTCTCTCTCTTGAGCTTTCTGCTTTGAATGATTGAATAGTAGGGTTTGCATGAATATTTAACATTTAGACAACTTCTGGTCGGAATATTCAATTCGGATTTAAAGTTGATGGCAGAAGCGTATATTCGCTTATAAAATAATTCAGAAGGGGTGATAAAGACACGCATTTGTGAAAATCGTTGATGCGAAAGATGCAAGATCAATTATAATACAATTAGCTGCTAAATTTTTCATCGAATATCAGTATCAATGATTGAAATTTCGTTGAATGCAATCCACGTAAATTAATTAGAAACGTATTTATATCTTGATCTCTCAAAGCTTTCCTTCGAGTATTTTTCTCTTGCATCACATTCCATTCAAAAATAAAAGAAATCTCTGCACAAATTGAGTGGCAATAATAACTCGCCGTGGAAAATAACAGTAAATTAGATTTTAAAAGGCGGGCACGTGAATAAAAAGGCGCTTAATAGGCGACTTTATAATGCGGAAAAGGCTTACTGTTAGCAACGTCCATTAGCGCCTCGAGCGCGATGTCCACTCCAGTCTCCTGTGACAGTTGCACTTGCACTGGCTTACCCAGCAATTCCTCAACGTCTGTAAATAAACAATATTCAGACGATAATTTTTAAACCATGGTACATTGAAGATTTAATTTCTCTTTTGAAAAGCTTAACAAAACGAAGGGCAATAGGAAGAAATTTGCTATGTCACGCTTATTACTTTTGCGTTAGAAACGTGACTAGCAACTTTTACTCTGTTGTACCATCTTTCGCTACACGGTATTTGCATAGATCATATTTACGAGCGAAAATTCAAGTCATTATCAACATTGATATTTGATAGTCCAAAAATTCTCAATTTTTCTTACGCGTATATAAATTATTTAGTTAAAGTTATCCAGTAGCTGAGTCAGCTTCATTGTCTATCACAGTAAAATAGAAAAAAGAAAAAGAATAAAAACTTTCCATCGTGCCACGCAATAGCGTCACCGTAGTCTTGCCAATCGTGACCTACATTAGACGCAAGCCTACAAGCATGGTATGCTCGTATTTAACCGGACGTTCATTAGACGCTCACATGTGGGTATATATATATATATATATATGGATTAGTTTCGACGTGCGAGTTGATGGAGGGTAGTCCACTTTTTCAGCCTGCAAGCTCGGATTTCCAATTATCGAAATTAAGCGAGGTCAAGAGAGCTGATCGAATTTTTGGTCATTAAAACTTGGAGATTCGATAGTTTTACCAAAAGTGATGGATTATCGAGAAAGACTTGTTATAGATAAGTTTGATTTGCGATTACTATTTTTTTTTGTAGTTTGGATCAGTTTCATTTTGGTTCAAGTTCCCATTAATCAGTTATGTGAAATGAAGTTGATGTACGCCGATTATGTTTCAAAGTACTTTTCCAATCTCATTATTAATGTAAGTAATATACATCTTTACATTGATAAATTGTTGAAAGACCGACAAGTTAAAAATAAATCGATCGACTCTTATCATGATATTCTACTCTTTATCCCCAATGAATGACGAAAGAGAGAGCCAGACAGAGAGACAGAGAGAGAGAGAGAGAGAGAGAGAGAGAGAGAGAGACAGAGACAGAGAGAGACAGAGAGAGAGAGAGAGCAAGAGGCGTAAACCGAGGAACAACGAGTGGCATTAAGCGAGGTAGGCAATTGAGGTGTCGGATTCCCTCTCCTCTCTTCGCTCTCTCAGCGATCGATCGATCGAATTGCCTGAACAATTTCGATTACGCGTTCCTCACTCGCCGGAATTTCTCGCGGTTCGCATCCTAATGGATTCGATGCATGTTGTGTTTCCAAAGCGTTCGCTAACTATCCAACGCGTGGTTTTGCGATGATTTATGAATGATTTTCTTTTCACTTACGTGGATTACTGCTGCTGCGTGGCTACAAGATTTTCAAGGTAATAGCCGAATTTTGGAATGTTTGTTCGCATTATTGAATATGTACTTTTAAGTATTTTTATTATTTTGTTTTTGTCGATACGACCAAAACTCGATTCCCGTTAAAATATAAAAAGTCAATGAGTTTGTTTGCATACAAAATGAAGTAATTAAAAAGACCGCAATTAAATTATTGCTAATGAGATTCGAGGCCAAACTAAAAGTAAAGTTTTCATGATATGGGGTCTCGCGTATCGTGGCCAATTAACCTAATAAACTATCGGTTGGAAATGCAAGGGCGATTGCATAAATCAGCGAGATACCAAGCCAGAGAGGGGGGGGGGGGAGAGAAAGAGAAAATGCTCTCTAATCTCCGTAGCCTTGAACCACTAACGAAAGACGCTAGTTCAAGTTGATGATGCATGCGCAACGCCCAGATTACATAGCTTGTTGTTCATCGAAGGTTTCGTTTTAGAACCGAAGGTTAATTCAAACTCTCTTAAACTTTGATCGGCTGGGTCAAGTGCTTCTATTATTTTTTATTTTATTTTTACGCTTCTAGTTGAAGTTATTAATACTAAGAAATTGGTTTGTTAAATTAATTTTTTGTTCAATAAAAAAAAAATAATTTATCAAAGTAGATCATTTCCGGCTATTTAATACATTTTTTCGATATGATATCATGCGAAAATGCGAAGTCTATGTGTACACACAGGAAAATTTTTTATCGGCTTCACGCTGTTTACTTAGAATGATTGATTGATCATCAAATTGTATATCAATATAAACATTTGTTCGACAGTCAATTTTTCGTCTCGTCCATTGACAGTTCCTGTCACATACATGTCAAATTTTCTTATTTTATTTACCAAATCTATGGTTCAATACACTCTACGTATAGAGTATTCATCATTCGAAATTGACAAGGAATGCTAATAAAAGCGTTAAATGCAAACGTGAATTTTCAATTAATAATACCGATAAATAATTGTGTAAAAAAATCTATAGAAATAGAAATTTTCAGAAACAATTAAAACCAATTAAAAAATGTGTGATAATTTTCGAAGAAAAACAAACTGCAAATTGTGGACAGTTTTATTGAACAAAAAACGTAATGATAAATGAGAAATACAAATTTTTATTTTAAGAATGAAACATTCTTTTTATAATTTTCAATCTTTCGAAGTAAAACAAAGTTCTTTGAATTATTTCTTATTTTTCATAGCCAGAAGATTTTTAGAATTTTCGGAAACATCAGTTTGCTTGACGGACATCACCTTTGATTTTTCAGGAATGAAGCAAAACAAACAATGTCACCCACCCTCTACCAAAAGTAATCGCGAGCTATTTGAATTTGCCTCCGTAGATTAATTCTCCGAGCGAACTGCAGATAGAAACATAATATCCCTCCCTCCACCTGAAAGCGGAAGCTGTCTCAATTTCGAGAGTACTCAGCGCGCGCGCGCGAAAGATCAATAACCTAAAGGTCGGGGAATGTAAGACTCGAAATATCTCGCGCGAGCACACGAAGGGTAGGAGTCTAGCGTCGTGTAATCCGATTTGCCCGTAAGGTAGTAGCCTACGGGCCACTTCTGTCTCTCTCTCCTCTCTCTCGCAAGCTTTCCAAATCAACTCGGACTGCTTAGTGTGTTAGCTCGGACATCACGTATAAAAGTTGAATTTCATGGGGGTGTGGAGACGCATCAGGATTTATTTTATTGCACAATCATTTTGGATTGCTAACGTGACATATTGGATAAATATTAAGATGTTCGAAATGTACGAGGGTAACATGATACAAAAGTCTCGACGCTATACATTTAATCGACTTGTATCTTGAATATTTTTTTTTAGCTAAACAAGTTTGATGAGGCATTTGAATAATAATTTATAAAACAAACTATCAAACAATAACAAAAAAAGTCAAAATGTTTTCGGCAACAGAACACCTGTTCACGGTCGTACGAATTTAACATTCCATAAACAGCTGAGACCGAGGGAAAGAGAGATAGAGAGGGTCCTTGCATTTTCCATCGTGACCAAGTTAACAAACAAGTGAAAAGTGCGAGCAAGCAAGCGCTACACGTGCAATTGGCTTCCGCCGCCTTTTCTTACGAGTTTCAACTTCTTTTCTTGCTCTCCACGGCGCACCAGTTGTAAAGGGAAAAGAAAAAAACGAAACAAAGAAAGGGAGAGAGAATGGCTTCTCTTTCTCTTTTGTGCTACGTGATTTTGGCTTAGTTGGCTTGCAATTAAAGTGCCGAGAGTGATCGAGTGCGGTGTTTTGTTAGTTTTCTTTTTTTTTTTACCGTCATTGCAGTTTGGATTAGAATGATGACAAGCAGAAGATACATTTTAAGATCTACTGTATGAATAGATAATAAATTAAATTAATAATCTATTTTAATTCGAATTTTCTGACCTTCGTAAATTATTTATTTATTCGTCAAGAGTTTTGAATGTTGAGCAGAAGATTTTAAATCTTGATGATTTTACATACTTTTGAACAAGTATGAAGAACAACTTTACTAACTTTATTTTAATGGAACTAAAAACCTTTGTAATCACTGTCTTTTCCGTGCTAGCGAAACCATAATTCAACAGATTTATAAATTAAATAAATTAAATTTTTTCCTTATTTTCAATAGGCGGTCAGTAACATGTTAATTTCAGCTTCGCTAAGCAAAAAATAGTATACGACCCATGGCCACGATATTAGTGAGCTCATAGCTCGGTTTTGCCTCGGGTGCTAATTTACACACGCTATGGAATTGCCAAATACCTTCGTGGCTATGGGTTATAATCTACTATTTATTTGTCCAGTGAGACCGAAACTAACACGTTACCAACCGAGCCGCAGCCGGGAAACGCTATTTTCGGGCCGTAGATAAAAAAATAGTATGTGAAACATTTCGACTCAGTTTTCAATGCTTACATGCAATGGACTTACCAATACTCTCCTGCCCTAAGTACGTAATTTACTATATTTTAAAAACTGCGTTTGCAACTCTTGTTTTTAAATTAAAATCTTTCTGCTTTCGTCGCAAGGTTATGTACGTTATGTCAGTTGTATCAAAAAATTTTCTGACCGATTAAAAGATTCAACAAAACACGCGAATTCTTTCTTGCCATTGCGATGGAAGAATCAAACAAAGATCTCATTCCAACGCCTCACTTTTGTAGTCGTGTTTCGAATTATTTACGCGTCGCATAAATTGGACAGTTTGTAGCCGCAACTTTGTATAGTTCGACGCTCGGTTGCACTTTTCTCTGGCGCAACTTTTGCGCGGCTTAGCTACTACAGCACGAGTAGTAAAAGTAACCGGAAAAGTCCTTTTACGCGGCCATGGAAGTTCCGACAGTTGGAATACTTTTTGCTCACGAACGCTTGCATTTCAAAAGAATCTCAAATGAGTTGCGTAAACGAGCATTTTTGCCAAATATAGTTGTTGAAATGGACGAAATTTCTATGATTTTTCACATGTACTATTACGTTTTTTCTACTCAAACATTGTTTTATGTCTATTAAAAATTAACATAACCAAAGCTTTTTGGTGACTGACTATTTACTTTCTAATGAAACTACTTTGAAATGTCAAAGATATAAAAATTTATTTATGTCACCGATGAAAATAAAATGCATGCCAATCAAATATCAATTCAAAAATCACGAAACCCGATGGATTAGAATAGAACCGAGAACTGAAAAAAGTAGAAAAACTCACTATCGAGATCAGCAAGTATGGCTTCGCTGGCGACATCAAGGCTACGCGTAAGACACTTTCTCAGTTGGCCAGCAGTGCCTGCGTGATAGTCTCTGAGATCCTGTATCACTGCTTCCACTGTCTTGGGAATCGTCTTTATACCTATGCTCACCTCCTCGTTACAGACTAGCATTGTTACCGCGCACACTCTGCAATCGGTTATGCAATCTTCATATTTTTCACATGATGCTCAAAATTATGAGATAGGTAAAGCGAAAACTTTATAGATGTGAACGATGGAATAAGGAAAAGCAATCGCTTACAGAATCGTTAAAGTGTATAAACAGAGGAAGAATGTCATTGATCTACGGCGTTTACGCCTATAATTGTAACGGCTTGACCGACAGCATAACCAGAATTCAGTGCTGGGCACAATGAGCATTAAAATGATCATCATAACTATAACAGCGATGAAAAGGATTTCCAGATATATCATCTGTAAAAAATTATTGCAACCATTACATTTTTATAATGTTTTAAAAATCCGACTGAAGTTAGTTTTATATTCAGTCAAAGACTGAGTTATAAAGAAAATTACAGAATAATGGAAAAGTAAAAAGGAATTTTTATAATCACCTGTCCAATTAACGTTGATACCCTTATTTTACCCTCTATAGAGTCTTTCAGAATATCTTTGATTCATATAAATGAAGATGTTTGGATTCCCATATAATAATTAAAAAGAAGTGTTAATCAAAGAAAATTATAAATTAATAAAGTGTTAATTGAAATTCTATCAACTACCTATTGGAACATCTTTTGGTTGAATGAAAGATAGAAAATAACGTAGAAAATCAAAGACAAATATTCCTTTGTCAAGATGAAGTGTGGCCATTCTGTATCTTTCAATACCTGTTTTATTCGGAAAGATTAGTTTAGGTCTGTTTTCTTCCCAGTCTCTTAAAACCGTGAAAGTCATCAAATGTGATATATTTGATTCTTTTCGAGGTTCTATGGTTGTGTAATCATCCGTTATCTACCAAAAGAAATTTGTTTGATGTAAGTTCAATATTCTTAAATACTACGTGAAGTATCATTTTTTTTACTTTTTTTTTCATAAAATAAAAATCTTCGTATTTCTCTATCAATTGTCATTTTACACACATAACCGCTAAACTTTCTAGCTAGTTTTCTTTAAGCAGGCTCGATACAAAATAAATACTCTAATATTTTTTAAACTCACTAGTATTGAATAATAAAAGGCTCGAAAACAGTTGTTAGATCTATTTTAAATTATAGTCTAGGTAATATACCTTTTCATCTGGATATTTATCATAGTTTAGATCCTTGACTTTGGGCACGACATGTAGATCATCATCTCTGTACCGATTTGGTATATGGCTACTAATTTTCCTGTTATAATTCCTGTCGCTCAGACGTTCATCGGGATGGAGATTACTTCCAAGTCGTCGTTCAGGTAAAGGATCACTGTGTGGTCCAAAATCTCGATTACTTGCTGGTTGATTAGAATGTAATTTCTCATGATGATCTCTTGGAGGTAATTTACTTGCACTTGCGTCACTTGTATGTTTTTCCGAATATATATCATCTGAATGTTCTTTTAGAGGATGCTGGTCGAAATTTAAGTCATCATTATGTTCATCAGGTAAAATCCTGTCCCGATAGTTAGTATATTTATCATTGTTCGTACGTCTATCAGAATTTTGGTCTTTATAGTCTCTATCAAACGATGAATAATAAGGATCTTTATAGTAGTTTGGATGTGAATGTTCATCATCATGAAGATCTTTAAAATGTCTTTTAGAATTTTGATCAATTGGATTTTGTTCAGAACGTGTGTCATGCATGTGATGATAGTCTATTGGATCATTTAATTTATGGTCTACTAAGCTTTTTACTGGATGTAAATCCTCGACACGTTTATCAATACTTCCTCTAGTTTCATCATGACCAACATTTTTGTTTTCATTAAAATTGTTGGCGTAATTTTCAGTTCCATGTTGTTCCAAAGGTTGAACTTCCAAACTTTTATCAATGACTTCCATTATTTTATCATCAGGGTTTCTATTTGAGTTTGTATTTAAAGGATAGACATTCAAATTTTCATCTGAATTACTTGTTTCAAGGTCAAGACCAGTAATTTGGTCGTGATCATTTTTTGTTTTATTATTATCCAAATGACGACTTTGAGGCCGGCTTTGTATATTTTTGTTTTGATTGTCATTGTCCATTCCTAAACCGCGATCAGTATTGAAACGATTCAATAGATGATTTTGTTCATTTTTTTCTCGATTAATATTCGATCGTTGATAATCAATCTTTTTATCATCATTGAAATGAGTTTTTAAATAATCCCATTCATTCTTTCGATCAATATTTATGTTATCGTGATCAAAATTCGCTTTCAGAGTATGATCTTCATCAAAACGATTCCGTGGACGAGTCCGTTCATATTTTTCTAGGTTATAGTTTTCACGAACGTTTTCGAAATCCGTTTTTGAAATCGAAACATGATCATCATAAGGGTTTAATGGATGATCACGTATATCTTTCCCTTGGTCATTATGTTCAGTACTAAGATCATATCTTCGGTTTTCATTTAAGTAATGGCTTGATGGATCAAACTTTACTCTGTCATTATTACCATTCACGTAATCAAGTCTATCATCTCCCTTTGAGCTATAATCGTCATTTGGGTAGCTATTCGCTGAATGACGCTGATTATTTTTAGTTTGCTCTCGCCTGAAATAATCACCACTGGCTCCTGTAAGAAACCTTCGATCATGATCTAGATGTCGACTTGACGCATGACCTTGAGAATCTTTATTCTGATTGTTATCTACATTATCATTTTGACTCGCTACTTTGGGAAGCTCATATCGTCGATTTATTTTACTACCCCCAGAATAACTATCATAACGACGATCACTTGAAAATCTATTAAATCTCTGCTGCTCCTCTTTCGGCTTGTTATTGGCTGCTTCATCGACACGGCTGGCATTTGTTGGATGAAAACTGACGAAACCATCGGTTGTCGTGCAGTTCAACGTAGAGGTTACGGCATCCTCCGATGATGCTGGACTCAATGATGACACCAACACAGCGAGACCTGTTAATAAAAGACATTTTAAATGTTTATTATTGATTTATTGTTCAAGTATCGCCGAGACGATGTGAAGCCTCAGAAAATCATCATTCAGGTCGAAGAAGCAGTTTGTACGCGATCTAGTTCAACATCGCATATTACCGGTCAGGTTTAACGGTATAGTCACTGCACAGTGCAATATTTACAATACTATATATGTATTCCATAATCCCTGCCTGGAATGAAAATGTAGGCTCTGTTGAGCTATACAGATTTCAGTTTCCTTTCGCATGTTTTCACGATTTATTGATCCGTCGGATGTTCTTAAAATGGAATCCGATAAATTCAAAACAATATTGAGTTACGAAGCATCGCATACCATTTTTTATATTATTTATAATATACATTGATTATTTTTAAATCGAAAAAAGTAGTTCTGGAAAAAGTGTATAAAAAGTATATTCTTCAACTCTTTACTATAAAAAGTCTGCTAAAGTCATAAGTTTTAAGGTTTCAAGATAAATTCACATATTAGGTTAATATTTATTTTTGTTATCGCAAAGTTATTTTAGTATTGAACGGCCAAGTATCGATTCCAGAATTTATGAAATGCATGCATATTGTAAAAAGTTCCAGTGAGTCATAGAAAAATTATTGAAACTTACAAGCTTGCTTTATAAAACAATTGGTAATTGTAATTACCGACTCCCACTAAAAAAACTGCATCACCATTCAAATTTTAAATGAAACAGTGATATTCAAAATGACTAATTACCAGCAAGATGTAGTAAGCGAATGAGCCTCATGCCTCACCAGCTAACGATGAGGCCGCTAAGCAGCCAAAACAGCACGAAGAAGAGGAGCAGTGCCACGCAAACGATTGACCGCGGAATTGTCGCGGGTGCGATGTAGCGGAGCAGCAGCCGCACACTACAAGTTATCTCCCAACTCGTCGTTTCGCTTCGAGAAGGCTTCCGCACGAAACCTTGCAAGCTCACACCGTCGTGTTGTCGAACTCCCTCAACCCCCTCCACCCACTACCCGCCTCCTCACTTTTCTAACGCTATCTGGGTTAAAACGACGTTGTAATGTTGCTTGGGGGAGCAGCTGCGTGCGATTTCGTCGAATTCCAATTTGATGATTGAGGTTACTATGAGTCGCGAATCACTTACACTAATACAAGTTATTTTAATTGTATAAAGCTGAGCGGCTCCGCGAATTGCTTTGCGTAGGATGAGAATTATGGGACATTTATTTCGAGCGTCTCGATAAGCATTCAGCTATAGAGTAGGAATGTTCGACGAAAGAATAGAACTACTTTTGCGCATGAATCGACCGTCTGTATGAAGCGTTCCAACTGGTTACCTAATCAAAGATATAAAAAGGTTTTATCGATTTGGATTAGGATTAGTAAAGTCTAATTCGTGGGTACAACTTTATCCTTTCTCATCCTAAGCCTATGACGAGCAAGCTTAATATACTTATATAATAAACTTTGCATTAAACTTTATATATTGACAATTTCAGTGCAAAAAATTATAAGAAATAATTCGCCAGAATGACAAAAGCAAATGAAAAATTATGCAAATAACGAACGAATACTTTATTAACTAAAAATAATTCTTCATTTACAATTCATTAATTTACAAAAGAATCTACACACGCCAACAATTAGTTATTAATAAACTGGCACTCTGACCGTCATTAAAATGCTGATTCGTTAAACTACCGAAATTCCGTGCCTTGTCAAAAAGCACATCACGAGCAAGGAAAATCTCATTCCCGTATGCAAAGAGGTTTTGGAAAACGCTCGACGTCACGCGACAGAAATACATACGGCCGTAAAACATCTCTCCCGCGCGTCCTCGTCAATTACGATAGTTAATGACGGATGTGCGGCAGAACAAGCAGCATGAAAATAATTACAGGAGTGAACCGATAGGGAGACACTTTAAAAGCCGCACAGAGCGGCACTAGAGAGTCAAGTATTAGTTTGAGTCGATCGATAGCCTTGCGGAGTCTGCATTTTAGTCTTGGTACACACGTGTACGTACATCAGCAAGGCCTTTGTTTGCGACACGACTGAGGCAAGCCTGCGTGCCCGCTACTTTTGTTGCTTTGTCGGTTTTGGCTGGCGGCAAGGCAATATTTTTGTTTTCCGCGCGCGTTGGCAGATTTCTACTCGCGATGGGATTAACCGCGCGATAACTACGTTGAGTCAGATCAAATCTAACGGAAGCAATAGAATTTGGGATCAATATCAACGGCATTTTGAATTTTCCGTGCGATTTGTCAACACTTCGTCACTGACTGGAGAGTAGTTTTATATTGCGTAACTCTAACTCGAGCGAAAGGCTTATTTCGGCAAACTATCGAAAAATATTTTGAGCGCAAAAGTATCTCGACGCAATCAACTATCTCTGGAGCAGCGAGTGCGAGTGGTATTATAGATGCAAACGAGGCGACTGGCTTTGGGCTTATTCGAAATCAGCGCACGGCTTTATCGGGAGAGAGCTCGCAAGGGGGGTATATAACTTGCACATACACACACCAACTCGCGAGCTTAAGGCGACGATTAGCTTTGCTACAGACGAGCGAGCCTATTATGCGCTCGCTCTTGCCGTGCCCATATTATGTGCAAACGCCCGACTGAGATCGTTTCGCTTTTTTCAAATAAAGCGTCTTTTTATCAGTGAAAATCCTTCGAACGAAAATTTTATATCGATATTGTCAACATGGATAAACACAAATGTTCACTATTCTTTTTATGAATTTAGAGCTCCTTTCGTCCATTCCGAAAAAAATTGTCAACTCTCCAAGTTTTACCGCAGCGTATACTGCTGCACAAATGCATAATTTTTTTTCCCCTTGTAACGTTAGTACAGAGAAAATTTAATGTAAGTAGATGGTAATGTAAACAAAGTTTTTATCCTAGATTATTTTTTGAACTCGTATGTTTTTGATTAAATTAAATTATTCATTTCGAGTTATTAGATTCTGTCCTCGAGGTAAACAATCAACTTTAATAATGTTTACTTTTATAATCACGCAATAAAACACTTAAAAACTTTTACAAGGTCTCGCGAAAAAAAACTGAACAATATATCTGAATAATTTATTATAAATTAACATTATTTGCTCAATTCGTATGGCTGATCTTGTTAGGTACATATCACTAATTTGCGTTAATGATTAATTGTAACGTTGCATGGTGATCAACATATTTTCTGATGAATCGATGCACACACTCTCGTGAAAGATATCGTTGTCTCGTTAAACAATACATAAGCGATTTAATCGTGTAAATACGCACCAAGTTTATTACCGATAATTATGCGGTTAGATGGTTTATTGTTGACGGCAAACTTATGGCTCCACAAATCGGACTGAATAATTGGCTTAAGCCGTTTAACGCGCTTAATCTATGATTTTTGTTACTCTGAATTTTATCATTTTAATAATCATTCTTTTTTGGTGATAAACTTTTATTTGAATTTCAACGATTGAAAATAAGTAAAATTGTGTATAAAAACGGCAATAAAATTAATCTACAGAGAAGAAAAATTTAATTTTGACTTTTAAAAAATTTACATATCTATCGAAAACCTATCCGAACGGATTTTTCCAAGCTTAGATTCAATTGATTCCAGATATAAAAAAAGAAAGCGATTCACGAGCATCATTTTTTTCAAAGTCAATCTCCGAAAAGTCGATCGTGCATATATACGAGTAATTTTCTAGAACCTTTTATTTATCGCCCTAATATAAATTTTTTTTTAATTTTAAAGCATACTTAAATAACTTCGTTTTTTCATCTTTACAGTCAATGAGAAAAAGGAAACCATCGTAGTTACCTAATATTTTGAAATATAATTTTTTTACAGTTCAATAAACAAAATAAACATGGATCATAATAACATCTTTTGTAATTAACAAAAGAATCTGTATGTATATTCATATAACCAATATAATCCATATAATAACAATTTATCGCGATATATTGTAGCTACTTTACTATTAATATAATTAAATTTCCGATAAAAAATAGCCTGTAATTAAAAATTGAAAATAAAATTGAATCACAATTTTCATTATAATAAAAAAGAAAAAATTTATTAAGTAATAAATAATCATTCAATTTTACTAGCATAATTTTAAATATTAGAACAAAAAATTATGGCTATATAAGTTGACAAAAACATTATATTGTATAAAGAAAAGATAATTTATAATCAATAATTATGACTGTGAATGGTAAAATCAAAAGTTATATAAAAGTACTCATATAATGTTGTTGAAAAATGTTCACGAAAGGTTCACTAAAAAGCCGCTTACGATTCTCGTCGTGCCCGCACACCAAAATGAATCTCTTCAGCTTGCGAGTTTTATATACGTACGTTTTTTGATTTATATTAAAACGCAGGAACTCATGAAACTGTTGGTGATGTTTTTATAAAGAAATAAAGGGAATTTCCAGGGGGGGGGGAGAAAATACATTAAAATTATTTAGCAAATGTTTATTGTTTTATCATTATAAATAATAAATAAATAATTATACTTATATAACTTCGAAAAACTAACAGAGAATCAGATCAGTGGTAAAAATTACGCTGTATTTAACAAATGATGTATTTCAGTTACCCGTAAATCTGAATTAAGCAAAGATATGAATTCAAATGAAAATAACTGTGAAGGGGAGTTGAGCAGAAGATCAAGATTGCACGTCGGAACTGCATCACGATAATATAAGATGCACAGCTTAAAGGATCTTCAGCTATCTTTCCACCCACACGTTTGGAGGAATGTCTCCCACGAGAGTATTTCCACTTTCTGCGAAACTCAATATCTAATCCATACGAATTTGCAATGAATCTTGTTTTTACTTTTTTTTGCGTCGAAAATTTATAGTTTTGGCAAAAAAAAAAACAAAACAAAAAAATAATACAAATGGAATTGGCAATATATTCGAGTTGAGACACTTGACTTGAGAGGAGGGTTGCACATACAGGACGCGCTTGCTTGCGCGTGCGACTCGCCACCCCCGCTTCTAAAGAGCTGGGACTCGACTAGGCGCCACTGCCGCGTGAGAGTAGAGTCAGTGCGTCGTCAGCCTCCGACAACGCTGCGCCGCGATTTAAACGCTGCCAACAAACACCCCGTTCGTCTTCTTTTACCACGATCGTAGGGGGAATATAACTTTATATATGGTTTTCGCTCGTTGGTGTGTACGAAGAGAAATAATAAAATAAACGAATGTTTTTTTTATATATTGTGATTTATAAAAAATTGTTTGAGTGCGGATATTTACCTTTAAATCCTGTGCTTGACATTTTTTGAGATGATATTATAGTGAGGAAGATGATAATCTTGCATAGACTATTGTACAAGAAGTAAGATTTTTTCGGTTACTCGAATAAAAATTATATGAAAATTATTCAAATTTATCATTAAAAAATATTATTGTAATTAAAAATCGATGTGTAAGTTCGTTTTATCAATCAACATAAGAAATAATAAATAATGAATTGATCATTAGTATTAATTGAAATACAATGTCTTGTAATAAGTAAATATTATACGGATAAACTTTTATACAAATGATAACTCTTGAACGAGAGGGCGAAGCATTGGGAGCGAAGAAATCTCTCGACTGAATTTGAAAGTCCCATCGAGGGGATCTCGGAATCACTTATTCAAACAGTTTACAAGGGAATAAATGTAGTGATCTCAAATTAATGGGGCATTACGGAAGTAGTCGTAAAAAGACAGGTGCTTTCCCGAGGATGATCGCTGATAAATTTTATAGCCACGATTTCGTCGAGTTTTATTGCGCTAAGCTGCTCTTCTTCGTCGCCGTAAGATTTCCTGAAAATCGGCTGCAAAAAAAAAGAAAACGCGCGTTTTCACAAAGCC